TGAAACATGTAAAACCAAGCTATGGCCCAACCACCTTGGGCATATGCTGTCAGACCTCCTGAGACTGTGTCACACGCAGGTCCTTAACACTGGCAAAATAAACTTTATAAATTAACTGAGACCTATCTCAGATATTTTGGGTTAACAATACATACAAACATACATACTTTCTGCTAGTGAAAAGGTGGTAAAATATTAACAGCAGGTGAAGTTAGGTAATTGTTATTTAGATGTTTAATGCTAGCTACAGAACATTTATGTTTTGAGCACTACTGGGAAATATAACTAGTCCCACAGCAGCGGGGGCAGAATGTTCAGTCAGCAGTGTCTCACGTAAACATGAAGACTTCACATCCTCAACTTCAATCACAGCCTGTCACACAGCAGGCTCGTGTCCATGTGACTAGCTCCCTATGAGGACTCTGGACGGCAGGATTCAAGTGGATGTGCCTGGGTGGACACAGGTGTCTGTGGTTTGCCTCTGGAGAGCAAGCAGCAGAGGGAGGGTTTAGAAGCCTGTGCTGGCCTTCCCTAGTCTTCCTGCACTGGAAGCTGTGCTGCAACCCAGTTTAACCAACAATATAACTTTCTCTTGGGTCAGGTGAAGCCTTCAACAAGGCACCCAGCTAGGAATGGGACCCCAAAACAAAAGGGCCTGTGGGAGCCTTCTCAGGTTCTGGTGTAAGGGCAACGACAAATGTAAAAAAAGAAAACTTGAATTTTCTCCAGTACAAGAAACAAAAGAGACCCCCCTATTTCTTTCTTTAGAGGATTTACTTAATTTTTTTATTTTTTTACTTCAATAGCTTTTGGGGTATAAGTGGTTTTTGGTTATGTGAACCCAGAAAATCTGAGACAAGTCTCAGTTAATTTAGAAAGTTTATTTTGCGAAGGTTGAGGACATGCATGTGACACAGCCTCAGAAAGTCCTGACGACATGTGCCCAAGCTGGTTGGCGCACAGCTTAGTTTTGATATTGTTTTATATTGGATATAGTTGCAAAGCTCTATATGAGATATGAGGCATCAGTCAATACATGTAAGAAGTACACTGGTTCTGTCGGGAAAAGCGGGACATCTTGAAGCAAAGGTAGGAAGACTGGAAGCAGGGAGGGAGCTTCCAGGTCACAGATAGGTGATGCACAAACGGTTACATTCTTTTGAGTTTCTGATTAGCCTTTCTAAAAGGGGAAATCAGATATGCATCTATCTCAGTGAGCAGAGGGGTGACTTTGAGTAGAATGGGAGGCAGGTTTGCCCTAAGTCGTTTCCAGCTTGAGTTTTCCTTAGTGATTTTGGGGGCCCAAGATATTTTCCTTTCAGTTACATGAATGAATTCTGTAGTGGTGAAATCTGAGATTTTAGTGCAAAGGGCAACCAAGTTGTATTCACTGTACCCAATATGCAGTGTTTTAAGCTCACCCCCCACCTTCCTCCTTGAGTCTCCAAAGTCCATTATATCACTGTATTCATTTGTGTCTTCATAGCTTAGCTTCCACTTGGAAGCGAGAACATATGGTATTTGGTTTTCCATTCCTGAGTTACTTCTCTCAGAATAATGGCCTCCAGCTTAGAGGATTTATTTTAGAAAATGCCTCATCATAAGTTCTTTCTCTCTCCTTTTCAGATAGATTTATGCAAATCTTTGCCAGTCTTACAATCCAGGGATGCTTTTCTCAAGTACCTGGGAGCCATCTCTTTGAAATGTAAACATCAAGGAAGAGAACCAACCCCCTATCCCCAGAGTCCAGGGGAGGGCAGGAGTCCAACTTCAGCAGGCACCTGGCTACACATTTTATTTTCTTTTGGATAAAGGCAATTAGCAAGCACAAGTGACCACTCCAATTACCAGGTGAATATGAAACAGGAGAGTTTCCTGACCCCCTCACAGGACCTGCAGCAGGGGTGTGGCTCATATGTTAGGCTACCACACCCTCAAACCCCTTATAGGAGGGGGAGCCCACAGACAGGCAGGTGCAGGAGCCAGGGTGAGCACTTTTGGGCTCCAGCCCCATGGTAGTGCCTAGGGGTGGGTGCCTGCAACTCCCGAAGTTCCAATGGGCATGTGACAGTGCTACTTTAGCTCTGCCGTCCACAGACGGCTTACATGTTAACCAGCTCAGTGCCCTCTTGGTACCCGGGTCCTTGTCCGGCATCCAGAAAGAGTCAGTTCACACGGACAAATTGAAGGATGCTAAATGAGGAGGATTTTGTTGCCAGATGGAGGTGTCTCTCAGTGGGATGAATGGGGAGTTGGAAAGGGGATGAAGTGGGAAGCTGATTTTCCCCTGGAGTTCGTCCATCCTGCAACTGACCTCTCCAACCATCCCCAGCTGAACTCCTCTCAACCTTCAGAGGCTCCTTCTCTTCTCTCCTTCTCTGCAACTCTACCACTCTTCTGTTCCCCTGCTCTTCTGCTTACAGAGCCTGGTGTTTTGGGTTTATATGGATACAGGATAGGAGGGTGTGGTAGGCCAAAAGGCAATATTTGGACATGAAAACAGGAATGCCTGTTCCCATTTAGGGCTTTCAGTTTCCAGGCCTGAGGATGGGGCCCTTGCTGGGGAACCTCCCTCTTCTACCCAGTATTTCCCTGCCTCCTGTCCATATCAAATGTAGTATGAACTATATGTGACAAATGGTGCTGCCAAGTTCTCTTACATAAGGACTAGTTATTTTTCCTGAGAACAAGTATGCGATGAGTTGTATCTGCCAGGTTATATACATGGTTGATTTCTTTCTATCTTTGCAATCTCTTTCATGGATTGCCTGTGATATGTGTCACATGAGTTTAGTGTGTATTCAATGATGAAACTGTTTTCTTTCTCTTCTAAACTTGTGGAGAGGCTTTCTGGGTTAGCAGGAGAATTTGTTTTCAATTCCATTTCCTCAGTACTGGAAATGTCTGTAACTTGAGCTAGGTGGTGGTTACATGAGTATGAACGTACGTAAAACTTCTTTAACCTTTGTGTGTATCACTCTAGGTAAATTCCATGTCAATTTAAAAAGAAAGAAAGAAAAAAGACAAGAAAATGCCAATTCAGCCACTGCCTTTTGCCTTCCCACAGGTGAAGAAGGGACACAGGGCGTGCTGCACGGAAGCCTCTCATTTCCAACTCTGACCACCAGCACCTGAAAACACAGTGGCCTCCACCTCACTGCCTCCACCTCGCTGTCTCCACCTCGCTGTCTCCACCTCGCTGTCTCTACCCAGAGCGCGTGCCCAGAGCGCGTGCCACTTCCTACCCAGCAAGGGGTCCGAAGGATGTAATCTGAGCTTTGTAACTATATCCAATATAAACAGGATGCAACGAAGGTTGAGAGAACAAATCCAGCTATCTTCTGTGATGATTGTGCATGCCTCGGGCCAAGTCACGTCGTTAGGCAGATTGCTGAGTTGGGTGAGTGCTTGCAGCAAAATATCAAACTAGCAGGTGGTGACGGGATATCACCCACTTATTAGAGAGGAGGAACTGCCTTTGCATGAAGAAAAAATTACAAATGATCAAAAAATATGAGAAAAAAGTTTCATCTTTTCAGGGTAAGAATATGGACAAAGACAGGTAGAATGGGTATTTATTGTCTTCAATTACAAGCAAATTACCAGGGATCAAGGAAATATAAAGATAGTTTCTTCCTCCACTTACAAAACTATCGGTAGGGCCCAACCAGACAAAACTATACAAGCTGGCCAGGCGTGGTGACCCACACCTGTAATCCCAGCACTTTGGGAGGCCAAGGCGGATGGATCATCTGAAGTCAGGAGTTCGAGACCAGCCTGGCTAATGAGGCAAAACCCCGTCTCTACTAAAAATACAAAAATTAGCCGGGTGTGGTGGTGCATGCCTGTAGTCCCAGCTACTCAGGAGGCTGAGGCAGGAGAATCACTTGAACCCGGGAGGTGGAGGTTTCAGTGAGCCGAAATCGCACCACTGCACTCCAGCCTGGGCAACAGAGAGACTCCGACTCAAAAAAAAAAAAAAAAAATTATACAAGCTTAGAAAATGCAGTTAGAGCCAACCTGCCAGGCATCCTTGCATACTTCAGACCAGGGACCCTTGTCTGCATGCTTTGCTTGGGCCCATCTCTACAGCACTCTTCTGTCTGCAGAGATTGGGGCAGGCACCTTGGGATGACTAATCACTGAGCGGGGCTTTTCCATGTGTCCCAGAGTTAGTGACAAAGTCCAAAGCTGCGGACGGAAAACACTCAGTACCCTCACCACAATTAGAGAAAGATAGCAGTCCCAAAACCTTGGATTGAAGAAAGAGGCTCAACCACACCCCTCCACCTGCCTTACCAGAAGGAGTGGAATGAGGAAGGGTGGGGGTGGGGGGTCAGAGTCAGCCTGTGGTTTTGCCCAGTTTGATAGTGAGAGGCTTCTCTCTTCTCCTTCTATGGAAAAGAAAGAGGTGCTTCTCTCACCCACTTACTCAAAGCCAAGAGAGGAGAGGGGAGCTAGAGGAATCATTTATGGAGACTGCAGGTGCCTGGAAGAAGGACTGGCCTCTTTCTACCTGGATGATCCTTTCTGCAAGTGGGAAAGTTCACTAGAGGAACCCAGGCCAGCATGATGAGAAGGGTCCGCTGTGGGGTGTGCCCAAGAGCAGGAGGGATTTGCTTCTTCGTCTGTCCCAGGTCTTGGAAGCTCTGAGGGCATAAGCCACCACAGTATGAAGAGCAGATGCTGGAGGAGGGCACAGGGCCAGACAGGGCAAGCCCCACACTGAAGAGATGTTGTAGATGTGGATTACTGTGTGCCTAAAGGGAGACACAGCAGCCCCTTTTTGAGGGGATACTCTGTGATAAAGGGTAGGTTAGGGGGGAAGCTGAACACTGTCCCTCCCCACAAAACACATACACCATCTACATTTACACAGCAAAACACAGAAGCCACCAACCAGCACCAAACCGAAACAATCCAAGCCAAGTAGGCCCAGAAGGGGAGGGCAGAGGGTAATAAAGGAGCAGATGGTAGCCCTGTTCCCACTCCAGGGATTGCATCAAATATGACTGCAGCAGATTTCCTTCAGGCTTTTTTTTTTTAAATAAATTTTTGTTGAAGGGAAACACAGAAAGTGCACAAATGGTAAGACCACAGTCCAACGAACCATCACAAAGTGAGCACAGCCCTGCACCTAAATGACTGAACGTTACCAAAGCCCCAGAGAGCTCTCATGCCCCTCCCGGTCGCTGCTCCTCTCTGGAAGGTGACCACCATCCTGACTTCTAATAACAAAGATGAGTTTGGACTACCTCGAACCTTGAGTCACAAAGATGAGTTTGGACTACTTCGAACCTTGAGTCACTGGAATCACATGGTAGGTTCTCTTTTGACTCTCCTTTCTTTCATTCAATGTGACTGTTTTCAGATTCATCTGCGCTGTGTGTAGAGTACTTCATTTATTTTTAGTTGATTTTTTATTTTTATTTTTTTATTTTTATTTTTTTTTTTTTGAGATGGAGTTTCGCTCTGTCACCCAGGCTGGAGTGCAGTGGTGCGATCTCAGCTCACTGCAACCTCCACCTCCCGGGTTCAAGTGATTCTCCTGCCTCAGCCTCCCAAGTAGCTGGGACTACAAGCGTGTGCCACCACGCCCGGCTAATTTTTTGTATTTTTAGTGGAGATGGGGTTTCACCATGTTAGCCAGGATGGTCTCAATCTCCTGACCTGGTGATCCACCCACCTCAGCCTCCCAAAGGGCTGGGGTTACAGGCGTGAGCCACCATGCCTGGCCTATTTATTATTTACACGCCACTGCATGGTGTATGTTTTCTATGTTTGCTATAACATATTACTACAACCTCAGCTGCTTAAAACAATGGAGATTTATTTTCTCACAGTTCTGGAGAGCAGAAACGTGAAGTCAGTATCACTGGGCCCTAACCAGGGTCCCAGCAGGGCCACAGTTGTCCAGGGGCTTTAAGAGAGAGTCCTCACTTCCAGAAGCTTCTGGGAGCTGCCAGCAGCCCTTGTCTTGTGGCCAATCTCTGCTTCCTTGGCCACATTGCCATCTCCTCTTCTGTATTAAATCTCCTTCCAGCTCCCTCTTATAAGGACACATGTGATTGCATTTTGGGCATTCAGGGCCCCTCTGGATAATCCAGGATCATCTCCCTCTCTCAGGATCTTTAGCTCAGTCACAGCTGTGAAGACCCTATGACTGAGATTTAGAGTGAAAGTTTAACAGGCCAAGGAAAAAGAGCTCTCCCTGCTGCAGAGAGAGAGGTCCTGGAGAAATGGGCTGCCACTTCCAAGGTGAAATGCAGATGATTTTATAGGTGAGCTTGAGGAGGCGGTGTTTAATTTACATAGGGCATGAAAGATTGGTTGAACCATTTGCATAGTGTGGGAAGAAGCTGGCTGCCCCACCCCAATATTTTATTATGCAATGGATTTTTTTTTAACATGGTTGGTGCCATGTTGCCTGGTTTTTGTTTTGTTTTGCTTTTTTGAGACACAGTTTCACTCTTGGTGCCCACGACGGAGTGTAATGGCACGATCTAGGCTCACCACAACCTCCACCTCCCGGGTTCAAGCGATTCTCCTGCCTCAGCCTCCTGAGTAGCTGGGATTACAGGCATGTGCCACCACGCCCAGCTAATTTTGTATTTTTAGTAGAGACGGGCTTTCTCCATGTTGGGCAGGCTGGTCTCAACTCCCAACCTCAGGTGATTCACCCGCCTCGGCCTCCCAAAGTGCTGGGATTACAGGCATGAGCCACGGCGCCTGGCCGTTACCTAGTTTTTGTGGTAACAAAAAAAAGGGTGGGGGGAAATGGAGCCTCCATGTTGAACACACCAAGCCCCAAGTCTATTGGCAAGCTGCTAGCCTTTATCCATGCAAGCTTTCAGCTTCCCTAGCTTAGTGTGCCCAAAATAGGGAAAGGAATATGCTCATTAAGGCCCACTGTTTTTACTGGGACTCATTGTGTTTATGTGGAGTTTGGTGATTACTCAGAAAGCTCCCCCTCTGTGCCGAAGTGCTTATTCATGTTTTATAGCCCAATCTTCCAGACTGCTCTTTGTTAGAAAAAAAAGCAATTTCTTTAAACTGTGTGTTTTTTAAAAGAAAGTAATTTCTAAGCTGCTTTTTGTTAAAAGGTAAGTTTTTGTCAGGGACTCTTTCACCCTATCAACCTAAATAATTTATTTCCACCTCCTGTATCACAGGGATTAGGACCTCATGTCTTTGTGGGAATCATTTTCCAGCTACATCACACATGTTTATACTACAGTTTATTTACTGTCCTAAAATTGATGGATATTTTGGTGTTTTCAGTTTGAGGCTTTACAAATAATGATGCTGTGAATATTCCCACGTGTGTTTTTTGGTATGTGCATGCATTTTTGCTGCATCCATACTTAGAAATAGAACTGTGGATTATAAGATACGTGTAAATTTAGCTCTAGTAGCTACTGTCATACAGTTTACAAAATAAATTATGGGTCTGTGAGGCGCCGAGAGGCCGTGGGACAGACCACGCTCCTCTGCTCCACTGGCTTCTTCTGGACCATGAACTGTCCCTACTGCTCTGGGGCTCCTGGGGACCCTGCCCACTGTCCTACAGCCACTTCTGACATGGGTTATGACCCCTATAACTCCCAGCTGCCCAAGCCCCATCCCAACCTCGCCCAGAGGGAGAAAGGAGCCTGGGCCTGGGGGAGGGCCCTAGCCTGGACTGGAGCTGAGGCTGGAGCTGGGGCTGGAGCTGGAGATGGGGCTGGGGCTGGAGACGGGGCTGGGACTGGGGTTGGAGCTGGAGCTGGGGCTGGGGTTGGAGCTGAGTGCTGGGGATGGAGCTGGGGCTGAGGCTGGGGCGGGGGCTGGGGCTGGGGCTGGGGCTGGTCCATGGAGGCCATGCGCTGTGAGGGGAGCTGCTGAAGACAACTGCAAGAATGCTGGTGACACAGTGGGCCTGGGTCAGGACACCTTCCGGCCTGTGACTACAGCCCTGGCATCTGTGGCCTGTAAGTCCCTGCTGAGCCTGGCAGCAAGCACTTGCTGGCCTCCCTGAACAGGGGTCAAGGCAAAGGCACAGGGGATGCGATGCCATGGAGTGGGTCCTCAAGGCCATGAGCCAGCCCCCACAGCACAGCTGCCCTGTCCCCAGTGGCATCTAGGTGATAGACAACTCCGGGCCGCTCTCCAACTACTTGGCCTGGCACCTCAGCCCGGCCAGCTCTCGGGAGCAACGGGCCACCAGGCGGCCCTGGGCTCCCCCGGCAGTAAGCCCTCTACTCTGCTCTCAAAAAGCCCTGCCACCTCTCTGGTGGCTGCAATGCCGCCAAGGAGCCCACCATGGCCAGCCCTGCTCAAAGCCAGGGCCAGCCCCAAGAGCCAGGCCACCAGGCAGCCTTCCTCCAGGGAGGATCTGGAGGCTGAGGACAGGGCCTGCAGGAGAACAAGGAGACAGCCCTGCAGCTCCATGTGGGGGACCTCGGGCTGCTGGGGAGTCCCCGCCCACACGCGATTCCCCAGGCCTGGCCTGGCAGGATGGTGGCTGCCTCAAGGAAGGGAAACCCGAGGAAGAAAAGCGGACCGCAGTCATAAAGATGGTGCCCAAAAGGAGGACAAGACCAAGGACAAGGGTTGAGGGCGGCCCCGGGAGATGCCCGGTGTGGACAAGAAGGGCCTGCAGGCCAGCAGCCCCTGCCGCAAGGTAGAGCGGGGGAAGGGACCAAGAAGCAGCCATTTTCGGCCACTGAAGTCCATTTGCTCCCCCAACCCTCCCAGACAGGAAGTGCACGAAGGCCCCTGCTGGTGGAGTAGAAGGCCTGCTTGCTGGATGCCTCGAAAGATGCCCCAAGCTGAAGAAGCATGTCTTGAGCCACCATGATCTCCTTGGAGACAAGAGTGAGGATGAGGCCCCAGAATCTGTGGCGCTGAGGGTGTGGGCCCCTGCCCTCCCAGCCTCAGCTGGCTCTTAGACTCAGTCTCCAGCCTGGGCTTCGGGGAGGCTCAGGGACTGTCCAAGTGGCTCAAGGACTCCCTGCCCCACTCCCTGGCCCACCCTACTCTTCCTCTTTCTCCTCCATCACGGGCAGGATGTGGACTACTCAGCCCTAGAGAATGAGGTGGACTTCACTCGGACCCCCTGGTGGCGTGCCTGTGGATCTTCAACGAGTCCACTAGCATCAACACGGAGGACAAAGGTTGACTGGCCCTCAGCCCCCCAAGGAAGAGAACTTCGGGTCCGACCACTCTGTTCAGAAGAGGATGATCTCATCTTTCCCAGGAAGGCCCGAGGCAGAGCCCTAGACAAGGAGTCCTGTGGTGCCCCACCTGTGCACTGGCACAGGACTTAGTTGGTTACCTGCGGGCCCAGCAGGTGCAGGGGAAGTAGGTGAGCTGGCTGCTGGCTGCCCCCAGGCTGGCGGAGATGCCTTCCTCCCTCCAAGAGGATCATCCATGCCCCAAAACCAGCTTGGCTGCAGCCCTTACAGGTGCCAAGAAGACCCTCGTGGTGAGCGGCAGCCAGACCCCCAATGAGGCCCCGAGCCCCTCAGCCAGCTGCTTGAGACCCGCAGGTGGTTGAGGATGGCATCCAAGACCACCACCACCATCACCCCTAAGTGACTCGCCCACAGTCTATCCTTACAGAATGTAAAGAGACCCATTATCCCCGAAGAGTTTAGGGGTGAAGTCGCCACTGTCATCCGCCAGTGCCATCTCAACCTGTTCATCCAGAAGTGTTTCAGGTTCTGCGCCTCCAACCAGGAGGCCGTGGAGAAGTCGCTGAATGAGGAAACAATGACCTGAGACCAGCAACCCCAGGGAGAACCTCTACCCAAACTGCCACGAACACCCTCCCCGAGCTCAGCCACCTGTGAAGCCCCGGAGCCGCAGGATGTGTCCCAGGAAGCGGAGTTGGTGGGCAGGCTGGCCCCTGGGGCCAGCTTCTCGTGCAGGTACTGGAGCAGCCCCCGGTAGGGAACCTGAACTGGGCCGCCCTGTGCAGCCCTTGGAAGAGCTCATGCTAACCCAGGCCCAGCTCCAGAATGGCTCTCCATCCCACACCAACTGCTCAGTCTTCTTCACGGCCCAAGGCCCAAGGACGACTCCTGCGGAACCTGCTGTCCCGAGGCACTGAGTCCCGAGTGTCCTCCTCCAGCGCTATGTCCGCGAGGAGGAGTTGCTGCCACTGGGGGCGGCTGAGAGACCCATGGCTGCGTGGCACCATCAGGTCGCTGAGCTCACCTGCTGGCGGGAAGAGTGCCTGGAGGGCTTCGTGAGGAGGTTTGAGAAAGCTCTGGGGGACACCTCCCCACTGGGACCCACGCCCTGGACTGTTGGACGCCCTGCACCACCCAGGGCCTGGAGCTGGCCCGGTAACCATGGCCATACAGCCTTGCACATGGTGCGCGACACCTTTGTCAAGACCCATGGCTTTCTCACCGACATTAGCGTCAGCTGCAGGCCATCCCGCTGAACGTGTTCCACTCGGCACCAACACCATTGTCACCCGCACTGCCTGAAGAGTGACCTGTGACCTCAAAGGGTTTCTGCAGCAGACAGGTGGATGAGTCCCCGCTCTCCTCAGTGCCTAGGTCTCCCCTACAAGTGCTCCCTGGAGAGCCTCACAGTCGACCACCTGGGACACATCACCCAGAGCTGCGTGTACAGCACAGCTCCCGTGGGGGCACGGTGCCTGCGTGCATCAGGCGATCTGGAAGGTCCCAGAAGACCAAGCACTGGCACCCGTCCACCTGCCTACCCGCCTGCCCGCCTCTCCTCCCACCCTAGGCCTCTTCCAAAACAGCACCATACATCTCCACTAGGCCAGGGCGCCAGGCAGCCCAGAGCAGCTGAGAACGGGACGCCCAGCAGACCCGCCCAGCCCAGCCCAGCCTGCGCCCTGCCCTGGCCTCTGGCATGTGTCCCCGCCCCCAGCTCCACAGCCTCCAGCCCCGCAGCCCTAGGCCGTCTCCGCCCCTCAGCCCCACAACCTGCAGCCCTCTGCCTTCTCTGACCAGCATTTAGAGTAGCCTGGAGACCCTTCCACCGGCCCCAGGCTCCAGCCAGGCCCTCACTTCCGCTCCAGTGCCTAAGACGCTTCAGACACTTATGCAACGTCTGCATGAGGCAGACACTCCCAGAGCAGCCATTTTAGAGGCCTGCCCCTGGGAATGTATTCTTTTCCCAGGGCTGTTGATTATTAATATTCCTTCCTGGAGAAAGAATTCAGCAATATTTCTCTTACCACTTTTTGGCAATAAGAGAAATATGACTCTGTCCTGCCCAGCTCCCAGGCAATCAGACCTAATGGTTATCTCCCTTGTTCCCTGAACATCACTGTTATCCCGTTCTTTTTTCAAGGTGCCCAGATTTCATATTGTTCAAACACACACACTTTACGAACAATTTGTGCAGTTAATGCAATCACCACAGGGTCCTGAGGCAACATACGTCCTCAGCTTACAAAGATGATGGGATTAAGAGGTTAAAGACAGGCATAGGAAATTATAAGAGTATTGATTGGGGAAGTGATAAATGTCCATGAAATCTTCACAATTTATGTTTAGAGATTGCAGTAAAGACAGGCATAACAAATTATAAAAGTATTAATTTGGGGAACTAATAAATACCCATGAAATCTTCACAAATTATGTTCTTCTGCCATAGCTGCAGCTGGTCCCTCTGTTCAGGGTCCCTGTCCTCCCACAACAGACAGGGATCTTCACAGTGCCTATTTTATGCAAATAACCGATTAGGTCAGGGGTCAATCTTTAACTACCAGGCCCAGGGTGTGGCCCTGAGCTGTCTGCTTGTGGATTTCATTTCTGCCTTTTAGTTTTTACTTATTCTTTCTTTGGAGGCAGAAATTGGGCATAAGACAATATGAGGGGTGGTTTCCTCCCTTAGAATCACTTCAGGACTCTTCCCCATTTTTTTCCACTGTGTTGTTTTCTCCTCTTTAATAGGAGCTGTATACATTCTAGATAAAAGCCTTGGTCAGTATAAGGTGCTGCCAATATCTCCTCCCAGCCTGTGGCTCACCTTTACACTCAGAAGTGGTGTCTTTTTTAGTCCATAAACAAATTGTATTTTTATTCACTAGCAACAAACAATTACAAACAGCCTCAAAAATTCAAATGCCTGAGAGTAAATTTAATGCATGATATGCAAAACCGCTACACAGAAAGCCACAAAGCAGTATTGAAACAAAACTTAAAAGTTCTAAATAAACATATAATTGGAAGACTTAGTATTATAAGAATGCCAGTTTTCCCAAAAATGATCTGTAGAGTCAAAACAATCCCAATCAGAATCCCAGAAGGTTTTTTTTTTTCCTCCTTTTTTTTGGAAACTGACAAGTGGATTTGGACATGTATGTGGAATTGCAAATGACCTAGTATAGCCAAGATAATCTTGAAGGAAAAGAACCAAGTTGTGGGAATTTTCCACCCAACTTCAAGACTAAGTGTAAAAGTACAACAGTTGAAACAGTATTGGGGTAAGTGCAGACAAATGGACCAAAGGAAACAATTCAGAACAGAAACAGACTCCCCTGGGTACACATACTTGACTTATGAAAAAGTCGGCAGTACAGAATGATGAGTAAAGGCAATAATGCTGGGCCAGTTGGATAGTCAACTGGAAAAAATGAAAATTATCCCCTCTTCATGCTGTGCACATAAATAATTCCTGGTAGGTTATAGATGTAAATGTGAAAGGTAAAATAATAAAGCTTCCTGAGGATAGCATGTGAAAATATTTTTATGGCTTTGAGATAGGCAACAATTCTTCATTGTTAAAGAGCACTAACCGTAATAGGACTACATTAAGATTTGGATTGCTTTTTGGGAGGCCAAGGCGGGCAGATCACCTGAGGTCAGGAGTTCGAGACCAGCCTGGCCAATATGTCAAACCCTGACTCTACTAAAAATACAAAAAATTAGCCGAGCGTGGTGGTGGGTGCCTGTAATCCCAGCTACTCAGGAGGCTAAGGCAGGAGAATCGCTTGAACTGGGGGGGCAGAGGTTGCAGTGATCCAAGATGGCGTCATTGCACTCCAGCCTAGGCAACAAGAGCAAAACTCTGCCTCAAAAAAAAAAAAAAAAAAAAAAAAAAAGATTTGGATTGCTTTAATGTCTGAAAGTAGCAAAAAAAAAAAAGTTGCAGGAAACAGTTTGCATAATATACTAATAATATCACTAACTATAATTTATTGAGCATTTGTGATATACTGAGCACCCTACTGGGTTTCAAATGTCTTATCTCATTTAACCATTACTAATATTATTATTTTACAGATAAAGAAACTGAGGTATGGAGTGTTGAAGTAACTTGCCCAAGGTTATTCACACCACTGGTAAGTGACAGAGCTGCTCTGCAGACCAGGTAGTCTGACTCCAGAGCCAACACTCTTAATGACTCCACCTGACCCCATGGGAGGCATTGGATTTTATATAATGAGGGCATTTAACTTATAGACTGATACTAGACCTGAAGAGGGCATGTAGGATGCCTTTTTGAAAACATACCAGGAGCCCCTGGTATGTTTCTCAGTGCTACATATCACAAAATGCAAAAGATAGCAAGAAGTAGTTATGGCTGAAGTTCCTAAGGATAAATATTTCAGGAATCAGGACAAAATCAAACTAGTAAGCTCAATCTTCATGTCTTTTAATTATGTTCCCACAGCTTGTCCAAAGGTGTAGGTTGTTATGGTGATGGGAAAAGGTTTTGCAAACTTATGGGAGTATTTTTTCAGATTTAAATAATGCCTTGTCATGATGTACAACCTTAGCTAGCCTTGCTCCTCCATGCTACCCACTTCAGTGATATCAGCAGGTATTATGTTGGTGTTAGATGGTAAAATGTCTGAAGAATCTGTGAACCCAAAAAAGCCATGGGTACCCTCTTGGTGGTGGTAACAATAAATTTTATTTATTTATTTTTTTGAGACGGAGTCTCACTTTGTCATCCAGGCTGGAGTGCAGTGGTGCAATCTCGGCTCACTGCAACCTCCACCTCCCAGGTTCAAGCTATTCTTCTGCCTCAGCCTCCTAAGTAGCTGGGATTACAGGTGCCCACCACCATGCCCAGCTAATTTTTGTATGTTTAGTAGAGACAGGGTTTTACCACGTTGGCCAGGCTGGTCTCGAACTCCTGATCACAGGTGATCTGCCCGCCTCAGCCTCCAAAAATATTGGGATTACAGGTGTGAGCCACCACCCCCGGCCACAATAAATTTTACATATGTGAGATCCATGGTGGCCAACCTATCACTTTTCTTTTGCATGTTACTTTATTAATCTGATTGGTTGTTTCAAGCTATTTCACTATCTTTGATTTTGTTACCCAGGTACTAGAAGGAGGGTAAATCCACATTTGACAGGACCCAGTATAGATGAAGTCAATCTCAGTTAATCCTCAATTCTTCCTAAAAACTCATTCTGGGTATGTAACATTTACTAAAAATAATAATAAAATGCCATAAAGAGAAACTTTTTGCCCAAGCAGATAGAATGTCTGTGGTGTTCATATTGCCAGGGAAATGACACAACACTAGAAGAAATTATCATCGTATGACTCACCACTACCCTTGCCAGTTCTTTTGCTGACAGATGGAGAGATAAAAGATCTAAAACTGTGTCTATGAGGGATTAACGTTCTAAAACTGTGGTCTCTCATAAGAATGCAATATCAACACTCATTCGAAAAGACAGCAGCACATGGAGGGTTTTTCTTATGGGACCCCAGCTGGCCCCACCCAGAAGACAGGGCTCAGTAACTCCAGGAGTCCATGGGAGTTACTTCCCTCCCTTCGTTTTTTCCTTCCCTTCTTTTCAGGCCTTCTTTTCTTCCTCTCCTTTCCCCTCATTCCTTCCTCCCTTCTCTCTTTTCTTTCTATTTCTCTTTCTGTTTTGTTTTCTTTCTTTCTCTTTATTTCTTTCCTTCCAACAGACAGGATTTTATTTTTATTTTTATAATCCTATGTATAAAATTTCAGTCAAAATGTTATCCTAGAAAGGAGTGTAAATAATTTTTTTGTCTCATTATATCTAATGGGTTTTCAACCTAACTAAGAATCTCTAAAATATCCAGGTCAGCAAAGAAACTGTAACTATGTGATTTATCGTGGAGATGCCTTCTCTTCTAACACGAGCTCTACCCAGCGGGAGGGTTTTCCTAAATTTAAATCAGCGGTAAAGCATATTCTCCTCTTCTAGGCAAGTTTTTGCAAACACCCTGTTGCCAAGCTGCCGTCTCTGTGCAGGGAGGCTTACACAATGTCTGCCAATTGACTGCAGCAAGTACTGAGAGCAGTGGAGGAAGAAGGGGCCAGTATGATCAGACATGGGAAAGGGATCAAAGGGACAAAAGCACTGAGCACTAAGCTCTGATTTTTTATCTTGCCCAAATTCCTGCCTAAGGGGCCTAGGGAGTCATGCCCTACAAACCATAAATTCTCATCAGATGGATTTTATTGGACCCTATATATTGTGACTTACTTTTCAGTCTGACTCTGGCATAACATTATGAGACAAGGAAAAAAACATGTAACCACGAAATATATTTCCTTGCCATACCTTAAAATTGCCCTGCAAAATGTCTTGTGGGAAGAATCCACATTCTATGCAGAAGCCCCTTCCCCCTTTGTTTTTCTTCCTTCCTTTCCAGATCCAGGAGATAATCAACTAAGAGCCAGGCACCCTTTTAAGTTCCATAAAAAACAATTTACAACCCTCTGTCTCTAAAGTCAGCTATGTAAGAGCCTCCTCTGCACAATAAAACTTGGTCTCCACAATCCTTTATCTTTAACCTGAACATTCCTTTCTATCTATCGCAGGTCTTCAGACAACCTCAACCAATTGTCAACCAGAAAATGTTTAAATTTACCTATAGCCTGGGAGCCCTAGCTTTTGTCCCACCTTTCTAAACCAAACCAATGTATTTCTTAAATGTATCTGATTGATGTCTCACACCTTCCTAAAACACATAAAACCAAGCTGTGCCCTGGCCACCTTGGGCACTTGTTCTCAGGACCTCCTGAGGGCTGTGTCGTGGGCCATGGTCCCTCATATTTGTCTCAGAATAAATCTCTTAAAATATTTTACAGAGTTTGACTCTTTTCATCAATAGCACCTAGGCACAAAGCAGAAATGAATAGAAAAAGAAATGCATGTAATCCATGCTTCCCTCAGCAACACCAGGTTTAGATAGACTATTTGTGACAAATAATTAGGGCATGACTAATAATTTCCATGTTAACAAGAAATTATTTGGTTCTGAGTCTTCAACTCACGTTTTCACTGGGATCCTATAAGTATCAGAGGTGTTTGAAACACAGTGACTCCATCTTGAACAGCGCTGGGTGAAATAAGGCTGAGACCTTTTGGTCTGCATTCCCAGAAAGTTAGGCATTCTAAGTCACAGGATGAGACAGGAGGTTGCCACAAGATACAGGTCCCAAAGACCTTGCTTATAAAACAGGTTGTGGTAAAGAAGCCAGCCAGACCCCACCAAAACCAAGAGTGACTTCTGGTCATTCCCCACTGCTCACTGCATGCTAATGATAATGCATTAGCATGCTACAAGACACTCTCTTCAGTGCCATGAAAGTTTACAGGTGCCATGATAGTTTACAGATGCCATGGCAACATCTGAAAGGTACCCTATATGGTCTGAAAAGGGGAGGAGCCCTCAGTTCCAGGAATTTCCCACCCCTTTCCTGGAAAACTCATGAATAATCCACCCTTTGTTTAGCATATAACCAAAAAATAACCATAAAAATGGCCATTCAGGCCAGGCTCAGTGGATAACGCCTGTAATCCCAGCATTTCAGGAGTCCAAGGCAGGCAGATCACCTGAGGTCAGGAGTTCGAGACCAGCCTGGCCAACATGGTGAAACTCTTTCTCTACTAAAAATACAAAATTAACCAGCTGGGCATGGTGGCACGTGCCTGTAGTCCCAGCTACTCAGGTGACTGAGGCGGAAGAATCGCTTGAACCCAGGAGGCGGCAGTTGTAGTGAGCCGAGATCGCACCACTGCACTCCAGCCTGGGCAACAGAGTGAGACTGTGGATAAAAGAAAGAAAGAAAGAAAAAAAAAAAAAGTCCAGAAGCCCTCGGGACTGCTCTGCCTATGAAGTAGCCATTGTTTTATTCCTCTACTTTCTTAATAAGCTTGCTTTCCCATTACTCTATAGACACACCTGGAATTCTTTATTGCGGAGATCCAAGAACCCTCCTTGGGGTCTGGACTGGGACCCCTTTCTGGTCACACAAGCACTTCATGTCCTCTTTTTCCCTGATAGGGTCCCAGGGGCTGCTAGCCATGGCCTAGGATGGTGCAGCACAGGGAGCACCACACACATCCTCAGCCGTGCTCCCAGGAATGCCTCCTGCACAGTCCAGAGTGAACAGCTGCCCACAGCCATGCAGGGCAGTGTTACTCCACACGGGCAGTTGGCAGCCACCTGGTAGCTATTGAGATCTTCTTGCTTTTCATTATTTACTAAAACAAACAGAAACACTTATATGTCTAACAATAGGTAAAATAAATTCTCGTAGATCATACAATGGCATATGAAGCCAATAAAATTATGTTACAAAAGAGTATTTACTGACAGAAAAACATTCACGATTTATTGCTAGATAACACTGACAAAATTTGAATATAATAGGTCAAAAGACAAAAAATGTATAGTGCGAAATAAAATTTCAAGACCTTCTAAATGTATTTTGCCGAGGAAGGAGATTAAGCTCTGGAGACAGTAGCATGTTTGCAATGTTGCTTCTTAGATTATAGCTTAACTCTCTTCCTCATTGCTGTTGCCCTGTAAATGCCTAGGAGAGACCAGAGACCAGACTTTCCCCCTTCCAATCACTGATCTTTGTTATAGATTAACTATCTTTATTGTCCAGTTCCTAACTCAGACCAGATGGCGCCCAACACCCCATGACAGTCACATCTTCAGGGTGGAATGTTAAATATACCTTTCCCTGAAAGAAACATACTACCTACACTAATCATATCATTGTACTTTAACTACACATTAAGTCTTCCATAGAAAGATATTGAAATTCTGTTAAAGCGCCCTAAGCTTTGTCATGTAAATGATCCCAAACTTCTACACTCTGGAGCACTGACTTCCATTCTCTGAAATTTGGGCTTCCTGGATGGCCTGTCCTCAATCTTTGCACTTGAATAAACTCGATTTAAACAAGAGTCTGACCTTTTTATTATTATCATCATTATTATTATTTTAGGTTGATTACAGGCATTGGAGCATGACCAAAAGCAGGCAGTAACTAGAGTGGAATCAGGCCATGAGAATCAGGAACCACACTGCGTAAGATTTGCCATACGCAGCATTTGGCCTGCAGGTCCTCTCCAGTTCACAGAGAGCTCAGTGCAGCTGGAAACCTCAGTCTTACTGGCTTGATGTGTCAGATGACAAAATTTAGACTGGCAGAACAGCTGGAAAGTCACGAAGAAATCCTGGAAAGGAGAAAACCACAGAGGGGAGAAACCCTTACATCTGATTATAAACTCCACCTAAATTCTGGGCTGACTTGATAAACTACAGTCAACGAAAAGAGTCAAACTCTGTAAAATATTTGAAGAGATTTATTCCGGCCAAATATGAGTGACCATGGCCCATGACACAGCCCTCAGGAGGTCCTGAGATCATGTGCCCAAGGTGGTCGGGGTACAGCTTGGTTTTACAGTTTTAGGGAGGCATGAGACATCAATCAAATACATTTAAGAAATACATTGGTTTGGTTCTGGCTGGGCACGGTGGCTCATGCCTGTAATCCCAGCACTTTGGGAGGAAGAGGCGGGCGGATCACGAGTTCAGGAGATCGAGACCATCCTAGCTAACACAGTGAAACCCCGTCTCTACTAAAAATACAAAAAATTAGCTGGGCGTGGTGGTGGACACCTGTAGTCCCAGCTACTCGGGAGGCTGAGGCAGGAGAATGGGGTAAACCCGTGAGGCGGAGCTTGCAGTGAGCCGAGATTGTGCCACTGCACTCCAGCCTGGGTGACATAGCAAGACTCCATCTCAAAAAAAAAAAAAAGAAAAAGATACAGGATTGTGGGCCAGGCTTAGTGGTTCATGCCTATAATCTCAGCACTTTGGGAGACCGAGGCAGGCAGATCACCTGAGGTCAGGAGTTTGAGACCAGCTTGGGCAGTGAAACCCTGTCTCTAATAAAAATACAATAATTAGCCATGTGTGGTGGCGTACACCTGTAATCCCAGCTACTCGGGAGGCTGAGGCAGGAGAATTGCTTGAACCCGGGAGGTGGAGGTTGAGTGAGCTGAGATTGCACCGCTGCACTCCAGCCTGGGTGACAGAGCAAGACTCTGTCTCAAAAAAAAAAAAAATAGCCGGGCATGGTGGCACATGCCTGTAATCCCAGCTACTCAGGAGGCTGAAGCAGAATTGCTTGAACCCAGGAGGCAGGGGTTGCAGTGAGCCACGATTGCATCACTGCACCCCAGCCTGGGTGACAGAGTAACACTCCATCTAAAAAAAAAAAAAAAAAAAGAGGATTGTGGAGACCAAGTTTTATAGTACAAAGAAATCTCTCAGATAGCAGATTTCAGAGAGACAACAGGTTGTAAAATATTTCTTATTGGACCTAAAAGGGTGCCTGGCTCTTAGTTGATTATCTCCTGGATCTGGAAAGGAAGGAAGGAAAACAAAGGGGAAAAGGGATTATCTATAGGATGTGGATTTTTCCCACAAGAGACATTGCAGGGCAATTTTAAGGTATGGCAAGAAAATATATTTTGGGGTTAAATATTTTTTTCTTGTTTCATGATGTTATGCCAGAGTCAGACTGAAAAGTAAGTAACAATATATAGGGGCAAAACCCATCTGATGAGAATTTATGGTTTATAGGGCATGACTCCCTAGACCCCTTAGATAGGAATTTGGGCAAGATAAAAATTCAGAACTTAGTCCTCTCTACATAAACACAGGGAAGATCCCTGTAGGGTCAGCAAAAAAGTAACAAATGAAAACTAAAAGAACAGATATTTCATCTACTTCCTACTGCAGGTTGTTGAAGAGAAACGAGAGTTCGACAGTAGTTAAAGCAGTAAAGATTTTATTCAGGAACTACTGCAATAGGGGAAAGGAGCCTCAGAATAGAACTGGGCTCAAGTCTGAATACAGCAAAGACAAGCGTGAATTTACAGCTGTAAACTAAAAATTAAAATTATAAGCCCCCCAACTATCTGAATGAACCCCTCTTCTTAGCCAAGGGCATTCCAAAGTTAACCTGAAAATGCAGTTCAGGCCATGAAGGGAAGGGGGGATTTGACGTGCCTATTACCTTCCTCCCTTTGGAATTCAGGCACAACTGACCAGCATTAACATTAAAACAGAGATCTTAATACTTTTTGTAGCAACAAGATACCAAATCCCAGCCTGTCTCTAGTATAGCATCAGCTGACCCACAGCAAGCCATGAAAGATATTGAAGTATTTTACCGTAAAATATATTTCTTCGACATATCTTGAAATGGCCCTGCAAAGCTGTCTCTTGTAGGGAAAAATCTACATTCTGTAGGGAATCCCCTTCCCTTTCCAGGTCTTTGTCCTGATCCAGGAGAGAATTAACAAAGAGTCTGGCGGCTTTTTTAGTCTGATAAGAAACATTTGTAATCTAGTCTCTGAAGCCTGCTACCAGGATCCTTCATCTGCATAAGAACCTTGGTCTCCACATCCCTTCTCTTAACCCAGACACTCCAGGTCTTTAGATAAACTGTTTCAACCAATTGCCAATCAGGAAATCTTCTTTGAATCCACCTATAACCTAGAAGCAACCCCCTTCTCTACTTTGAGTTGTCCTGCCTTTCCCGACAGAACAAGTGTACATCTTCCATGTATTGACTGATGTCTTATGTCTCCCTAAAATGTATCAAACCAAGCATTAGCCAAACCACCTTGGCACATACTGTCAGGACCTCCTGAGGCTGTGTCACACGCATATCCTTAAACTTAGCAGAATAAACTTTTAAATTGATTGAGCCTTGTCTCTGATACCTTTTGGTTTACAGAGCCAAGGAGCAGGGTGGAGGTCAGTGGGTGGAAA